AAAACATTTCAGATTGATTAATTTGAACGTATTCATCCAATTACATATGTTATTCCTAAATAAGAATAATCAATTTTTTATCTTCAATGAAAATTTACATTAATTAAAAAGAGTTCATGTTTAAAGACTATAAAATATAAAATTTATAAAACGTGATTTATTTGAATGTTCATTTCTAATAAAATCATGTCATTCAAAAGTGCACATACTTTTTTTTTTACACATCCCTAATAATAATATAATTACTGATAAAAATGAAACTTTGAATAATACGACTACAATACCTACAATTAAAACAATGTTAACAATTTTTCGTCGTAAATGTCAATTAACAATCATATATAAAAGTGAAAGGCAAAAACTCATATTTTTTCCTGAATCTGTTAATATTCTAAGTCAATGTCTAAACTTAAACCAACTCCTAGACCCGAAAATAAGTCAATGCAAAATCAAAAAGAAAATTAGAATTAGCATTTTTTTTTCTTAAACAAACCATCCCTGTCCCTAACCCTAAGTTAATGAAGCCAAGACTTCCTGATTGCTTAAGTCACTTTCGTCTGGAATATTCTCAAGAAATTCTTCAGTAGAAAGGTCACTATCAGAGCCATCACTGGACATAGATTCAATATCACTCATTGACATTGTTAAAGCCGTAAATAATCGTAAATAATAAATGAGAGAAAAGAAAAATAAGGGGAGTAAAATGGCGTGATCGTAGGTAAAAAGTTTGGATAAATCACGTGACTATCACAAATATCCCAGCAACATCAAAATATTCATCACCGGCATCACACCCACCGCGTTTTCACTGTTTATATTTATCTGGAGGGACTTTGCCTCCATTATTTTTTTCACATCCATTAAATGTCACCGGTCACGTGGGGTAGAATTTTAATTATAAAATTGTTGGTGTTACAATGGTAAATAAATATCCGACAAATAAATTTAAATAATTCCCATTCATACTTTGTTCACTTTGAGAAATAAAAATAAATAATCCCCATGCACACAAAAAGATTATGCTGGGTGCATAAAATGCATCACGCACAAAATCTAAATTCCCTTTCTTAATTACTAAATTTGTTGTGTTTTTTTTTCGTATAAATTAATGATGATCATGCCCATTAATGTAAAACAAGATAATTTAAATCACTTGTCGATTAATTTAGAATGAATGATTGTTTTTGATTATACGTGTTCTAATATTAACAATTCTTATTTAGTCTTAATTCCTAGTAAATGCGATGAATGAGAGCACTTATTGGTTGGTCGTTGTATAAAAAAAAAAAAACAAAATTCCTATTGAAACAATCATGCACCCATTCATGGATGAAACAGCACTTGATTTATTTTCTTTGTATCCAAATAATTACAATTTATCATCAAAGAATAATTATCTATAATTAGTTAAAAAAAGAAATTGTTTAAGCCAATTAGCCAATGTCCTTGATCCAGAATCTTTGGAGTTCCAGAAGTTCCGTAATAAAATTACAAATCAAAAATAATTTCAAAACCTCATAAAACATATTAAAATTTATCTTCTATTTAGTAATATAATGAACCTAGATTAATCATTTCCTTTTTTAAATGAATATCGATTTGTTTATACTAAAAAGCCGAGATTACACTCAGAGTAATAAGTATTCATTTTGCGATCAAATTCATTATATATATATATAACCAAATCAAAACGTGTGCAACGCGTCCATATAAAATGTAACGCGCAGTGAAGATTCAGAATATATCATGCCCGAGGGAAAAATTCATAACCGAACCCAAATATGAAAATAGGAATGTATCAATTATTTTTAGATATGATTGAGTTTGGAAGATATTATTTATATGTTCTTTTTGTTCATGTATATAATATATAAATAAACCAAATCATCTTGCATTACAGAAAAAGTATAAATTGTTCACCAAATCTTATTATTTCAATAATAGAAATACAAAATACTAATACTTTCCAAGAATACCAAAAGTATTGTTTTGCTTTTTTATATTAGACCCTTTTTCCAAATAATTTATTACTTATTATCTATATTATCTATTGTGTCCAAAAAAAGTAAAATAATAAACTGTTTCAAAAAGTCTTTGTGGATATACCTCATTCATTTATTTAATATTCTTGAATTAATCGATGATTATACTTTAATACTTATGAAATATAAACTTATCGGATATTATGTAGTAAATAAGGTTTTGAACTAGACAGTCATTTAATTAGTAATTAAATTACAAAGGATAATTTGGGTAAAATTTTTTTCGATAATGAATTATTTAACTTAATTAGTTCATTTATTTCATAATTGGGAATTACTTTATTTCATTAAGTTGGAATGAAGTTTGATAACTTGAAAATCCTGTACCCCATAAAAAATTTATTCCGGGTTTTTTTTATTTCATGTTATTTCCGTAAATGTATCATATTTACGAAGTTTTTACATTTATAGAGTATGTAATTAAAATGAACCGTTATTTTATTTTGCAATGTCGTCAAAACGTTCAAACTGAAATCGCAATACGTTCAAAAAATAAAACTAAATAATAGCAAGTGAGTTAGGAAAAGACCTCCTAAACTTTGTCCTGATTGCAAAGATACGAGTAATCGTGTTGAATCTTTTTCTGATAAAGTAAGTAAATTCGAAAAAATTATCAAAGAGAGAAGTCGATAAAATTTCCAAGTTTAATGCGAAATTAAACTTAGCAATATACCGTGCGAGGTGGAATATGATTTATCACAATTTACTAACAATTATTTTACAATATCATCAAAAATCATCACGAACAAAGAACTCATATGCTCAAAGAATCAATTCAAGTAACATGAGAACTAGGAGAAAACCTCAAAAACTTTGTCCAGATTGTAAAGAAACGAACGACTGCAATAAAATAAAAGAGGTTATTGACAATTTTCATGAAAATCCTATAAAGCCGAATAAGGTTAATTCATTTTCTATCTTCAATGCAAAATTTACTTTAATCAACGAATTAGAATACATCTTTAGAAAACCTACATAATTAATTCAAAATATCCATCTTATAAGTATCATAATAATTACTGTTAATATTTACATTTATCAAGGCAAAATCGACTCTCGGGCAATTAGCAAAAATATTTTCAAATAATTTATCAAAAGCACAAATTTTATGAATTAAGATTATTAAGAAATTATTTAAGATGGTATGATAAGTTATGTAGATTATTTTATCGAATGTACGAGTTTACGAAATACATTCGTAAATTAATGAATAAAAAGGGACAATAGAATCACGTGCTAACGGCCTTATCCAAGATTTCATAGGTAATACAAATATATAATAAACTATTTTGTACAACATAATAAACTAGTTACGAAAATGATTCATTATTATCGGCGTTTTACTCTAATTGTGTGACATTTCTTCCATTTTTTTTCAACTACTTTTATTTTTATTTTTATTTCACGGAGTAAATATTCTTTAATCGCTGTTCAACTTCATTGGTTCCACTCCTTTTGTATTGTTTTATTTCGTTTAGCTTTTACTGAAGCAGCAAGCAAGTTGAAGTCTTTATTTATTTTTATATTAAATATTTAATTTTATTCTATCAATTTAATCTTTAATAGAAGGGTTTGATACAGTACTTCTTTTTTTTTTACATTTTTAGCAATTAATATTATAAATTTCCTTTAAAAATATACACATATACTTTTTTTGGCGGTAATAACTAAAAAAATAAATTTGAACCAGAAATATAATACTAACGATAAATTGTAGTTACACGAATAAAAATAGCAAAAGTAATAGCAACAAGTTTTTGTAGTATTCTGAAGATAAACTCGATATGTCGTATTCCAATTCATGAATATACTTATATCCATAAAACTAACCTTATTTAGAAATCACCATTTTTTTTTAATTCATTCTTTTCGTAATAAAAAAAAATTACAAAAAAAAAATGGTAATTGTTTCCTAACACTTTTTTTTTTGAGAAAATAAGTTAGTCTCGGTTTTTATTAAAAAAAAAACTCAAATTATAATTAAATTTGTAAGTCATGATGATTTAATAATTTTAATTTTAAAAAGATAAAATTAAGTAGTAAATTCATTATTATTTGATTGGTTCAGGATCCGAACAATATTAATAATACTGTACTTAGATAAAGAATTGTTTAAATATAGAGATTTAAAATAGTCTGAGATTTCAATAAGAATTTTAAAGATATGTAGTGTTCAATTTTTATATGGACTTCAATTATCAAAAGACCATCAATAGATCCTATTTGAATTAAAATTTTGTATTCATATTTCAATTTTATTTAGCAACATATCAAAATTTGAATATAATAATGATTGATCGCCTCCCTATGATATATTTGTGCATCGACCAGTTATATCATGGCAATAAGGCCGATCCTACGGAATCACGACATTTTCAAATATTTATATGACCTATAAGGGACTCAGTAATTGGATGAATACATTCAAATTAACCAATCTGGAATTTTTTTTTAATCTAAACAATCTAAACGAACTCAAAAAAAAAAAATTATTCTAACTAGTTTGCTGGGAATAAATAAAAATCTACTATGCAATATATAATTATATGCAGTATAATATTTATACCGCCGCAAATTTTAAAAAACATAATAATAAACAACAAATATATCACAACAATGTGTAAGTTTTTATATGTGCACACTTGCTTTTTTTTTTATTGTAAATTATAATTAATTTAAAACCTTAATCAAAAAATTCATATAATTTCTTAATATAACATAATACAAATGATGTTTTCGATTTATGAAAATTTTTTGTTCGCGTGAAACTTAACTCAATCGAATCAAATATAAACGATAAAAAGCATAATTTTAAAATTGGAAAATTATATTTCCTATATCGAAAATGTTTAGGTTGGGAAAAATCATTTTTTAAATTTAATTATTCGAAATATGTTAATTCTTTTTGCTAGAAGAACGATAATTTTTATTGTTGTGTTGAAATTTTGGGTTGTAAGATCAAGCCAATTTTTGTAAATTTTCTAATGTGAAATGTGATAAATCGTATTCTAATTCACAAGGAATGTTATTCTTTTTATTGTTGCAATTTTGGGTTGCAAAATCAGCCAATTTTTGTAAATTTTCTAATGTGAAACGTGATAAATCGTATTCTAATTCACAAGGAACGCTATTCAAAGTGAATTTTGCACGGAATATAGAAATTTTATTGGTCTTCATAGGAAGATTTTTACGAAAATTGCCAACGATTCCTTCTAATCTACTATTTGTTTTATTTAAAAATAATCGTTCGTTTCCTTACAATTCTGACAATGTTTTGGTGGCTTTTTCTTTATTCTTTTGCCACCTGAGTCAATTCGAATTTTCTGATATACATTAACATTTCGAAATAATCTAGTCTTGCTTATTTTCATAACGTAAAATTTTTACATAGTATCTTAAATAATTTCTTAATTATATCTTAATTCATAAAATTTGTGCTTGTGATAAATTATTTGAAAATATTTTTGCTAATTGCCCGAGAGTCGATTTTGCCTTGATAAATGTAAATATTAACAGTGATTATTATGATACTTATAAGATGGATATTTTGAATTAATTATGTAGGTTTTCTAAAGATGTATTCTAATTCGTTGTTCAAAGTAAATTTTGCATTGAAAATAGAAAATGAATTAACCTTATTCGGCTTTATATGATTTTCATGAAAATTGTCAATAACCTCTTCTATTTTACTGCAGTCGTTCTTTTCCTTACAATCTAGACAAAGTTTTTGAGGTTTTCTCTGAACATATGGAGTTCTTTGTTCGTGATCATTTTTTGATGACATTATAAAACGATTATAATAATAACGATAAATTGTTGGTTTACCCAAGTCAAATAGCAAAAAAAATTAATTTCTTAAAAGTCGTTTAAATAGAATACATAATAAATAAAACGAAGTAAAAAGTAAAAAAAATCAAAAAAAAAAAAATTTAAATTTTCGACGAGATTTTGCAAATGTAAATGAGAAAGAATAGTAAAGTTTCGTATTTCACTTTTCAGTTAGATGATTCAGAAGAATTAGGTCGTAAAATTGTGTAGTAATAGCAACAAGTTTTTGTAGATTTTCTAAAGTAAAATTCGGTAGATCGTATTCCTATTCACATGGAACATTATTTAGGGTAAATTTTGCGTTAAATTTAGAAGCTTGTTGATTGCTTCTTTTGAAATTTCTTCAAGCTTATTTACTTTGTTAGAAACAAATTTAACACAATCAAATGTTTCTTTACAATTATAACAGAGTTTCGGGGGTTTTTTCCTGATTCTTTTGCTATTATCAAGATTTATTTTTGAATGTACGTATTTTGTTTATGATATATATATATATATATATATATATCGACCATGAGACGTTAGATATTGCAAGTAATGAAATAATTTACGTAAATATTTCATATCCTATTTATAAAAAAAATAAAGTTACTGAAAACGCGTTTTATATTGTGTAGCGTTTGTTAAATTTTATCGAAAATCTGTACTCACGCGACATTATAATAGCCAGTAAGTATGATAAGTATGACAGCAGAGGAATTATTTATAAAAAATTAGGTAATTTGTGTTGATTTTGTGTACTAAAGAATAATATTTGTTTTCAAGGATAATTATCTAAATTTTTGTATTGTACTTTAATAAAATTTTTTGTTTTAAAAAAAAAATGGGATTTGATCATTTTAATATACAAAAAGATATAAAGGAACTCGTGTTTTTTGTTCTACAAAAAAAGATAAATTTTTTCCTTGTAAAAAAAGGTAATGATAAATCATCGATTCATTTATCTGATAATTAAAATACGCCAAGCAAATTTATTTATTGACGTAAATTAATCTAGTTATTTAAATTAAAAATAAACATAAAATAAAATAAAATAAAACAAATAAAAAAATTTTTTTTTCACATTGAATTTTTTTTTTACCCCTTGATAGTTTTCTCGTATTTGTACTTTCTATTGATGCTCAATAAAAATTTTGTTACATGAAGAGATACATAATCTTATGATAAATCGAATATCTTGCAGATTTTCCTATAATGTTTAATAGCAATCATATTGTTCGACTTTATAAAGCTTAACATTTAACAGAGGATCTTCTCGATTATTAAACTCGAAAACGGAAAATTATCGTAATACTTACTGTAAAATGATGTGATTTTATACGCTGATAAAAAATTGAAATTTTTAATATATGCATATATATAATGGAAAATGTTTATTACTATCTGTCTCAACAACCATTCAGTTTTGATAAATGAATACGATATGTATGTGATTATGGAAGTTCTGATATTATCTTACTATTTAAAAATAAAATAATTAAATAATAAAATAAAATAAAATAAAAAATAAATAAAAAAATAAAAATAAAAATAAATAATAATTAATAATAATAATAAATAATAATAATAATTGTACGGTCATTAAAGAAAGATAAACGAAAATCACTAAAACATGATTTGTTTTCGTTTTTTTAATTAGGAAATATCTTAAGTATATAGATTCTATAGTAAAATTTAGAGATTAGTATTAGGGTTAGGGTTAAGATTACACGAATGTATAAAATGAGTAATGAATGTTTATAAATTTAATCATTTTATTTGGCTGAAATCTTTTATTAGGGGTATCTTAACATTCTTTTTTTTTTCGGAATAGCTTATAATAGGGTTATTTTTTATTGGATTAATTAATTAAACTCAAAAGTCCAAATAATAATTTTGTGCACTAGCTTTGCCGATTACACACTAATGTGATATGATGTATATAGTATAAGTATATAATATATACTGTATGTGTAATCACTATAAACGTACATACATATATGTATGTTATACAGTACAGTATCTAACATTCTTGAATGAGGGTAATGAAAGTGTAGCCATACTTACATCAAATAAACCTATTTTGGATTATTTTTATTACTGATTTTAGTAATAATGTTCAGTTCGGCATATATATTTGGTACTATTGCAATTTATATTAATTATTGGTAAAGTTTATAATAAAACTGCGGCGAATATATCTTTATTGTATCGGATATCGGAAGTAATTTTTTTTAAAAAAAATAGATTGATGATTTTAGATTCGGGAATTAAAAAATCAAATATTATCAAAATGTTTATTAAATTAAAAATTTTAAATTATCATAAACAATCAAATCATTTGAAACAAGTGTTACTTTAAAAAAAATTTTTATATTTTTTTATTATAATAATTATGAGGCATAAACTTTAGTACTGTAATTACGCGAATTTTTATTGATTCTGATTCAGTTGATTTGTTTGATTTAACGGAGTATACAAATTCGTAATCTATAAAACTGAATCAACACCAATTAGAATGGGCCACGAATCAATATAAATTATATAAATTATATATTTATATAATATTATATTTTTTTTATACATACGATTATTTTAAAATCATAAAACTTTATTTATAAATTAAATTAAAATTAAAATTTCAACAGGTTTTAATAAAAGTGATATTTTATCATTTCACTTACGCTAGAACGGGGATTTATTTCTGCACGTGATTATTAATAAAAATGTCAAGAATAGAACGAGTTTATTTATTATTTTTTTTTCGTGTATAAAAATATTCTTTTTTTTAAAAAAAATATGTCGAGTTACGACTTGGAAATTTCCCCTGGTTACATGTAGTGTTACGACAAAACGGAATCCTCCGCATGACTTTTTTTTTAAAAAAAAATCAACTTTGTGACTTTACTCACTATAAGTCTATCACAAATAAAAATTATTTATTTAGTTGTCCATTGTGCTTCTAAATTGCGCCACATGCGTGAGTCATGCATTATATGTATCAATTGTATCATGTTCCAAACTAGTATCATTCAAAAAAACTTGGAGAACCACAGCCCAATTTAACTCGATATATCCACTGGCTATATAAATGTGAAAAGCATAGAAATATTTTCTTTTTTTACTCATTTTACGACACATCACACTAATTTTCTTTATTATTATTAAAACACAATCAAACGCAAACAAAAAAAATTGTAAGATATATTCCAAGAATGCAAAACATTTATGTATTAAAATTTCAACCTCTTTTTTGTAAGATTTAAAATTAAGCAAAAAAATTTTCTTAATATGTCGAAATTTCGATTTACTAAAAATTTTTTATCGAAAAATTTTTTCATTTTTACTTCTTTTTTTTTTGGTATTTTTTTCTTTTTTTTGGGGGAGGGCAAGGTACTTTTCATAAGTGTAGAAAACAGACAACAGGCAAAATACAATAGAACGTTTTTTTTATAAAAATTTATTTAAATAATTTCTTTTTGAATTTTTTTTTTAAAAAAATAAATAATATAATGATTTTGTTATTGGAAAAAATAAGTTACATTTATATACATAAAAACAATATACAATAGGTAAGTATTTTGACTGAGCGGATTTCACCAAATATTCCCAGCCATAGCTAGTTTAGATGTGGTGTAACGGCATTATCATGTGATAAGAGTATTACTTCATTTGATCACAAATTATTATTACAAAAATTTGGATTATCCTTCATCGAAAATCTAAAGCAAAATCACCCGTTAAATTATGAAAGGTTTCAACGAAAATTCTAAAATTAAAAGAAAATCAGATCTAACCAAACAACATCTATTTTCTATGTGATTTTTTATAGTTTAATAAACGGTATTTTTTTTTTCTTTGTGCCACAGTAACATGATAAATGGCAACAGCAAAATATTATATGTAAATATTATATTAATATGTCATAATAAAATTAAATAAATAACTTAATTCTTATATTATGAATCGATTATCTACTTTTGTTTTTACAGTAATGATATGATATTAGATATTAAAATAGAATTAAAATCTCATGAATTATTACTGAATAGGCTTTATTGAAAAATAAATTGTCACATGTGTGTCTTTATAAAGAAATTTGTTAATTAGGTAATAAAATGTGCGACTGCGTTATTTTGTATATACATGATGATCTTTTGAATAAATGATCAGTCACTTAATGCCCAAAAAAGGAATTATAACTCCATTATAAAATGTTTTATCCATAGAAAGGAATATTATAGCTGCGTCATGATGATTATCGTTGATTTGAAAAGACAATAGTATTATTATTAGATGACTTGAAATTAGTTTGATAATGGCTACATTTAAAATTAATCGGCCTAAGATAACTAATTCATTGTTTTAATCCTTTGTGTTATTTGAGTATACTGTATAATGACATCTAAAAAAAGAGATTTGCCAATAAATGATTTAAAATTTCTTGTGGATTTCAAACCCGGCAACTTACTTTATAAACATTAGTGCATTATTTTGTCCTTTCCATGGGGAAACATACCACATTGATTGATTTCTACTATTGATATGAACATCAAATGAAGGATTAGATGTTTCAGAATGAATAACCCGGGAATTAACACGTAAATTGTTGAATATTTATTTATAAATTATATAAATAATTGCGCAATATTGGGTGCATCCGATATTGCATCACGTTTTACAATCAAAATTTATTTTATAAAAACGGCTGATTCTCAAAAAGAAAAATCGTTCTTTTTGATCATCCGCAATAATAAGCTTTAATATAATACAATGTCATCAAAAAATGATCACGAACAAAGAACTCCATATGTTCAAAAAATCAATTTAAGTAACTTGAGAACTAAGAGAAAACCTCAAAAACTTTATCCAGATTGTAAGGAAACGAACGATTGCAATAAAATAGAAGAGGTTATTGATGATAATTTTCATGAAAATCCCATAAAGCAGAATAAGGTTAATCAATTTTCTATATTCAATGCAAAATTTACTTTAAACAACGAATTAGAATACATCTTTAGAAAACCTACATAATTAATTCAAAAATACTCGTCTTCTAAGTATCGTAACAGTAATAATCACTGTCGATATTTAGCAATTAGCAAAAATATTTTCAAATAATTTATCACAAGCACAAATTTTATGAATTAATATTTATTAAGAAATTATTTAAGATACTATGATAAAAATTTTACGTTATGTAGATTATTTCGAAATTGTTATGTAATTATGTCGAATATGATTCATTATTATCGGCGTTTTACCCTAATTGTGTAACTAAATGTAAATCTATCCAAATTTCCTCCATTTTTTTTCAATCGCAACAAATTACTTTTATTTTTACTTTTATTTCACGGAGTAAATATTCTTTGATCGCTGTTCAACTTCATTGGTTCCACTCCTTTTGTATTGTTTTATTTCGTTTAGTAGCTTTTACTAAAGCAGCAAGCAAGTTAAGGTCTTTATTTATTTTTATATTAAATATTTAATTTTATTCTATCAATTTAATCTTTAATTGGGTTGATACAGTATTTCTTTTTTTTTACATTTTTAGCAATTAATATTATATATTTTCTTTAAAAATATACACATTTACTTTTTTTGGCGGTAATAACTAAAAAAAATAAATTTGAAACGAAAATATAATACAACGATAGATTGGTAGTTACACGAATAAAAATAGCAAAGAAAGATTTTGCTAATTATTAAATTGTAAAGATTATTCGAATGCCAATGAGAAAGAACAGTAAAAGTTTCGTATTTCATTTTCAATTAGATGATTCAGAATCATCGTTTGAGGAAGAATGAGTGTTGTAAATTGTGTAGTAATAGCAACAATTTTTTGTAGAAAAACTCGATAGGTCGTATTCCAATTCATAAATATATTATATCCATAAAACTAACTAAACTTATTTAGAAATCAACATTTTTTTAATTTATTCTTTTTGTAATAAAAAAAAATTACAAAAAAAATGGTAATTGTTTCCTATCACTTTCTTTTTTAAGAAAATAAATTCGTCTCAGTTCTTATTAAAAAAAATTTCAAAAAAAAAATAGTAATTATAATTAAATTTCTAGTCATGATAATGAGATTTTTTCTTCGATTATATTAAAAAAAGGAGTTGTTTTGTGTGAGAAATAGTTTTTTGTCCGGAAATTTCCGTTTATGATCATCGTTGGAGATTAATTATTTTATACAAGGCGCTTGAAAAGTAGTAAATTCATTATTAATCTGAGATTTATACCAGTTATATGAACGCCCTATAAAAACTAGTAAATGAGTTAAAATTGTTTAATATTTATGCTCATGTGTAATAAATGTCTAAAAAAGCACCATTTTGTTTAATTTTTATTTTTCTGTAATAAGACATAAATAGGACAAAATCTGGCGGAATCACAACATTTTCAATAAATATTTATAATAAAACTTTAGTTCAAAACACGATGCATATAATGCATAAGTCTAGGGATGGAAATCGGTTCGTCGGCTCTAATTCGGTTCCACATCGGGCTCTAATAAATAAAAATATGAGAACAAGTAGAGCATGTGATGATGATCAATCATGCATGTGTGTGATCGTCAGACTAGTCAGTTCTTGAGAAATCGGTTCGTAGTTCAGAACGGTTTCTATGGTTAAAAGTAGTTTTAAGCCTAAGAGGTCCAGAATCTTTTAAATTTAAGATCGGTTCCAGAATCGACTCGAGTCGATCATTTTGAACCGATTCCATCCCTAAGTTGTTGCTAGTGTTGTTAAGTACAAGTAAAACCGAACCAAGCCAAACCGGACCGATGGGTCGACTCGGTTTGACTTGAAGATTTTTTAAGTCACGTCCGGTTCGGTTCGACTTGACTTGTCAAATTGATGGGAGTCAAACCGATGGGTTGATGGGGTCGATAGGCAAGTCGATGGGACCGATATTAATGACTCCATCGGTTCGACTTGGAGGTCAAGTCAATCGGTTCGGTTTGACTTTGACTCCAAGTCGGACCGTTAACAACACTAACCGCGCCTCTTATTGGCCAAAAAAAGTATCGGTTTTTCGTTATATAATCGAAAAAATGTTATTTTTTACCTATAGAAGTGAATATGATGGTAAATAGATTTTGAATATCAGTATGATAATAGTTTCATTTAAAATTTTAAATAATTAATCGGCTATGATAATCAATTTATTCATGGTCAGTATATAATGACATATGTATGAACTGTTTTTAAATAACAACAGGTTGTAAAGAAAATATTTATAAATTGAAGAGTATTGAATTCGATTCTTAACATCCGAATATAATAAATACCTTGCTTTCAAAGATTTTTAATTTTCATTGAAATTTATATTTAAGATAAAGAATAATTTTCTTCAAAGATATATTTATAACTAACCGTTCATTCATTCATTTATTTATTATTCTTTTTTTAGCTTTTCATAATTTTAACACTCTATATAGAAAGGAATACTTATGAAACGCATGCAGCATACGCTTAAGATAACGAATATTCCTTTAAACGATTTTTCAATCAAGTTAATCAGCTGCAACTAAAAATTATTAGAATGTTAGAATTTTTTTTTTTATAGGAATTTTCATATATCAAATAAGCTTGTTTCATTTTAATTGTATGAATTTTAATATACTGATAATAAATGAAAACTTAAATAGAAAATATATTAATAAAATTATATTACTATGAATTAAAGTTACTTGTAACATAGTGTTCTTTGTCTAATTCGTCTCCTTGCTCAAAAAATCTCCAAATTGACTTTCATCGGTATTACTTGCAGACTTTGTTTTTTTTTGAATTTTATGGTAAACTATCTGACATTTTATTATTTAAAAAAAGAGTAAAAGACTAAAAATTAAATCTAGGTTATTATCAAACATCGATAGTGAGAATTGGGATTGGAATAACCGAAATTAGTTTCGGGTTTCGGAAATCCTCTCAGGCTGATTTGTTTACTGAGTCGTGACCCTGTTACAAATTAAATTTATTATTTTTAAAAATAATAAATAAAATTTTTAATTATGAGAAATCTGATAGATTGGTTCAGTGAATTGATTCTAGGAAAATATGTTTAAATCGCTGAAATTTTCTTTGATGAATTGTAATTTTTAAAAACTCGATTAACCTTATGCACTAAGAGAAAAAACAAAAAACCAAAAATAAAAAAAAAACTTCAATAAACTGCAACTAAGTATTTGCAAAATAAGTCAAACAAAATAGCGCCTTCATATGCTCAGAAAATATTTTTAATAGTAACAGCAGGAGAGTTAGGAGAAAATCTCCCAGGCTTTGTCCTGACTGTAAAGAGACAAGCGATAGCATTAAAATTTCTCCTAGTAAAGTAAATAAAATTGAAATATGGTTCATCAAAATTCACTTTAGAAATTTACAAAAATTAGTAATTTTTACGACACAAAATTGCGATAATAATAACGGAAATAATAAATATCATCTTCTATATATTCTAATCTTCTATCCCTTCTGCCCCTCCTACTGTACATCTTTTAGCGACTGAAATCTCTCGGAATTCTATTATTTTTTCTTCACATTGAACACTTTCATATTTATTATGTCAAAAAAATTTTTATCGAAAAAATAACACGTTATAAATATAAATATATGTATATATATATCTGATATATATAAAGTGCTGCGGGAGGAGTAGAGACTCGTTTTTTCCAGAATCACAAGCTTATTAAAATCATCAATTTTCTTTACATGTTAGGAACCAAAACCTTATAAAATCAACGTTAAAGGCGCATTAGGTAGAGAAGGACATTTTTGATATTTTAGGAAAATATTTTTTAGCTTTTTCACAAACACAAATTATTATTAAGATTTATTATAAGATATAGTTTTTTGAGATTTATATCCTTCCTTTCAAATTATCTTCCAAGCTAATTACAAAACTGTTACATTGTCACTAATGAGTCACTAATGTTAAATGAACAAATACCCACATGAGCTACTAACAGTGCGAAGTGACCCAAATGATCTCAAATGACTGGTCACGTGTCATTTGGGACACATTTTTATTTTTATTTTTATTTTCAACGTGAACTAAGTTACAGTACAAAGTCATAAATGTTTCTAATCAATTATAACAGAGTTTCGGTTTTCTCCTAATTTTTTTACTATGTATATTCAAGATTTATTTTTGAATGTACTACGGATGCGTTCAACTTTGTTTATGAGACATTAGATATTGCAAGTAACGAAATCATTTACGCAAATTTTTTCATTGCAATAATTTTTTTTTTTTTGAGTCGTTTAGATTGTTTGGATTGAAAAAAACTTTCAGATTGATTCATCCAATTACTGAGTCAGTAAAAGGTCCGTCAGGAAACTAACATTTTTATATTTTTGAGCGATTTATATGATACAATATAAATTTTTTACATTTGAATACTTTTTAAGTCTGAATATAGTAATTTTCTTTGTTTACGTATAATAATATTATGTAGTTCATATACTAAATATTTATTGAAAATGTTGTGATTCCGTCAGATCATGATATATATAACATAAGGAGCGATCAATCAAAAATTATATTCAATTTTTAAACATGAATCTTATGTTTGTATATAAATATTCAATAAATTTTCAAATTAACATTTAAATTTAAGTGTTACAAAAGCGTAGCATTACAAAATAAAAAAAAATTTTTTTTGCGTTATAATAAATAAATTTTGATTATTTTTAATATTTTAATAATAACCATGATGCAGTTGATGCACGTATGAAAATAAGTATGTAATAAAACATACAATCCTGCATGTCATCACCTTAGTTGATTGGATAATTACAGAGTTAAAAGATAACACTCTTGGAGAGACAATAATTACTATTTGTGGCACGTTTTCTTATCTGTAACAAAAAGCATCCGACCAGTTCTTATCTTCATCGGCAGATGATTGATCAGATCTATGAACAGAAATACAATTTCTTTTTTTTGATCAGGATAACCTTACAACTCTGTCCTGCTGAATTACCGAATGGATCGAATATGATGTGTATATAATAAATTTATGTGAGTTAATTCTGATATTATATTAATACAGTTGCACTATTACGTAAAGTAGTATAAATTAATACAAAATCGGATGATTATTATTAATTATTAATAAGTTTATTTATTTAATTTGGA